AGCAGACACCCCTTGTCTCTTGGGTCAGGACACTGGGTAGAGTGGAATAGAAAGGCAACAGAGTCACTGCAGAAAGTGCCCACGTGGAAGAGGTCCAGCAGGGAGGGCCAGCTGTCCCAGGGCCACCATATTTAGGGATAACTCCTCTTTCTGGGCAGGACTGTTTTTTGACTACCTTTGTATTCATAACAGTTCTGAAATCATAGGATGATGAGACTCAAGACTGGCTAAGATTTTTTTTTTTTTTTTTTTTTTTTCCAAAAAAACCATCTCTGAGATTTGCTGATCTTTTAAATTTTTTTGTGTGTCTCACTTTCCTTCAGAATTTAACTCTTTCTTAACATTTCATTGTTCATTTTCAGTTAATAATGTACTAGTACCCATAAATATAGAAAACTTGCAACCATTTATCCTCTAAAAAAAGTTCATCTTTTATGATATAGATATTGTATGTAATATATCTATATAGGTTATAAGCCCCACAAAAAAGAACTTTTTACTTTTTCTTATCTTTAAACAATTCGATGTATATAAAGTAAGAGGAAGTGAAGGGAGCAGGATAATCTTTTGCACTTAGCTCAATATTTACCATTTTCTATCATCTTCATCTTTTCTGATAATCTCATTTCCCACCTGGTATCACTTGCCGCTAGCCTGAAGAATTTTCTTTACCAGTTGTTACTGTGCAGATCTGCTGGTGACAAATTCTCTCAATTTTCTTTTACCTAAAATATCTTCTTATCTTGCCTTTCCTTGAAGGACATCTGTGCTGGATATAAAATTATTAGTTGACCTTTTATTCTTGCAGCACTTTAAAAATGTTATTGTACTTTCTTTTGTTTGTATGGTTTCTAATAAGAAGTCATTGGTCAGGACAAGAGGAACAGAGAAAGAAAAACTGGGAAAATAACATAGTAGACCTAACACTTATCACATCAATAATGACAAAAACCTACATGAATCAACACTCCAATGAAGAGCAGCAATTGTGTGACTTGGTTTAAAAAAAACACAGAACCAAACTATATGCAGTTTTCCAGATATGCACTTTCTTTCTTTCTTTCTTTCTTTCTTTCTTTTTTTTTTTTTTTTTGTAACTTTTATTTTTAGTTAAGGGGTACATGTGCAGGTTTGTTATATAGGTAAACTTGTGTCATGGGGGTTTTCTTGTACAGATTATTTCTGTACCCATTACTATCCACCCAAGTATTAAGCCTGAAAAACCATTAGATCTTTCTCCTGATCCTTTCCCTCTTCCTACCCTCCACCCTCAAGCAGACCCCAGTGTGTGTTGTTCTCCTCTGCATGTCCATGTTTTCTCATCATTTATCTCCCGCTTATAAGTAAGAACATGTGGTATTTGGTTTTCTGTTCCTGCATTAGCTTGCTAAAGATAATGGACTGCAACTCCATCCATGTTCCTGCAAAGGACATGATCTCATTCTTTTTAATGGTTGCATAGTTTTCTATGGTGTATATTTCCCACTTCTTTTTTTTTTTTTTTTTGAGATGAAGTCTCACTTTGTCGCCAGGCTGGAGTGCAGTGGCATGATTCAGCTCACTGCAACTTCTGCCTGCCGAGTTCAAGCGATTATCTTGCCTCAGCCTCCCAAGTAGCTGGGACTAGAGGCACATGCCACCATGTCCAGCTAATTTTTGTATTGTTAGTAGAGATGGTGTTTCACTATGTTGGCCAGGGTTTTCTCCATCACTTGACCTCATGATCTGCCCCCTTTGGCCTCCCAAAGTGCTGGGATTACAGGCAGTCACATTTTCTTTATCTAGTCTACTATTGATGAACATTTAGGTTGATTCCAAGTCTTAGCTATTGTGAATAGTGCTGCAATGAACATATGTGTACATGTAAGACATGCACTTTCTTTTTTAATTTAATTTATTTTATTTTACTTTAAGTTCCAGGACACATGCAGAACCTGCAGGTTTGTTACATAGTCTGCCATAGTGGTTTGCTGCACCTATTGGCCCATCCTCTAAGTACCCTCCCTTCAATCCCTACTCCCCAACAGGCACTGGTGTGTGATGTCCCCCTCCCTGTGTCCATGTATTCTCATTGTTCAGCTCCCACTTAGAAGTGAGAACATGCGGTGTTTGATTTTCTGTTCCTGTGTTAGTTTGCTGAGGATGATGGCTTCCAGCTTCATCCATGTCCCAGAAAAGGACATGAACTCCTTCCTTTTCATGGCTGTGTAGTACTCCATGGTATATATGTACCACATTATCCTAATCCAGTCTATCATTGACGGACATTTTATTTGGTTTCCTGTCTTTGCTATTGCAAACAGTACTGCAATAAACATACATGTGCATGTGTCTTTATAGTAGAATGATTTATATTTCTTTGGGTATATGCCGAGTAATAGGATTGCTGAGTCAAATAGTATTTCTGGTTCTAGATCTTTGAGGAATGGCCATACTGTCCTCCACAATGGTTGAACCAGTTTACATTCCCACCAACAGTGTAAAAGTGTTCCTATTGCTCCACAGCCTTGTCAGCATCTGTTTTTTCTTTTTAATAATTGCCATTTTGACTAGCAAGAGATGATATGTCATTGTGGTTTTGATTTGCATTTCTCTAATGATCAGTGATATTGAGCTTTTTTTCATATGTTTCCTGGCCACATAAATGTCGTCTGAGAAGGGTCTGTTCATATTCTCTGCCCACTGTTTTATGGGGCTGGGTTTTTTTCTTGTAAATTTGTTTAAGTTCCTTATAAACAAACATGTGAGTTCTCATCATTCTTGTTTAAACACCTAACAGGCATCCTAACCAGTGCAACATGGCAGGACAATGAAATAAAAGACCAATAGAAGGACCAGGCATTGTGGCTCGCACCTGTGATCCCTGCATTTTGGGAGGCTGATCACTTGAGTTCAGGAGTTTGAGACCAGCCTGATAGTGAGACTGCATCTCTATTAAATACAAATAATTTTAAAAGAAAAAAGATTGATAGAAAAGGAAGAAACAAATATCTTTCTTTGTCACCAGCTTCATTACATATGTAAAAAACACTAGGGAATTTGGAAAAATTCTCTGAATTAATCATTGAATTCTCCAAAAAGTTCATAATATGTATGTAATAAGTCACTTAGATGAACATGAAAAGATAGCAAACAATACTAGTCATCAAGAAGTGCAGGTTAAAACCACAATGAGAAACCACCCACCACACATCACCTAGAATAGGTAAAATTAAAAAGATATATGATAAGTCTAAATACTGGCAAGAATATGGAAAAAATAGGAAGGTCTGATACTGCTGGTGCAAATGTAAAAAATGTTGCGGTCAATTTGTAAAGCAGTTTGGCAATTTCTTATACAGCTACCCATCCAATACCACATGACCCAGCAATTCCATAAATATGCATTTATCTAAAAGAAGTAAAAATGTAAGGCCATACTTGTGAGCAGTTATTTATAATGGCTTCATTGATAACAAACACTAACTGGAGTAATTCCCATGTCTATCAACTGGAGAATAGAGAAACCAATGAGCAAACTGGGAGTCCAGCAAAACTGGGCAGCTGCTGAGCAACAAAAAAGGAATGAATGGCATCATCTCAAACATTGTTATGCTGAGTGAGAGACCAAACAAAGGACTACACATGATTGCATGTCCATGAAATTCTAGAAATTTCACTCTTGCAGTCAAAGAAAGCAGAGCAGTTGTTGAGTAAAGGGAAGGTAGTGACGGTGAGAGGCAAGGATTAAATAGAAAGGGACATAAAGAAAGTTTTTAGGGAAAAGGAACTGTTCTCTACAGTGCCACAATTTGAGAGTGACTGGGCAACAGGAACTGAGGGGACAGGAGGGTCTGAGGGATGAGAGGGGCAGAGAGAAGGGCTGGTGAAGCAGGAGGTGAGGAAAGAATTCTAAAGCAGTGGAAGGGCCTAGGAGGGGGTTCTTTGCTTTCGGTATTTAATACAATTTGTGGGACTGCCTAAAAGCTAATGGCTTCCCTATGATTTTTTAAAAAAAGGACTTCAAAAATAGCAAGTGTCTGAATAAAATATGCACACTGCTTACATGTGCCTAGTTCACAAAAGCAGGCAGTGCTAGAGCATTGTTGAAGAGCATTGGGACTGCACCGACCACTGGCAACTTTGAGGTGATGACTACAGGCTCCCCGATCAATATACAGTAGCAAACCTGCTTCTTTGTATTCAGGAGATGCTCTGGACTCACACAGGGAAACTCCAGCTAGGGAATGAGATAATTTTAAATGCAACAATCAAGAGTCACAGATCCATAGACGGGGAAAGTAAAACTTAGGAGCTTTGAGAGTTTAACTGTAATGCTGTTTTGACACAGGTCTTTTACGATTAGAATTCTAATTATTCAGGGCTTACCAATATTGTGCTACCTATTGTATTAATAAACAAAAAGGAAACTGATCTCTATGAGAACCTCTATCTGGTAGCTTCAGACAAAACTTCACCAGGTTTAGAGAGAAAACCCCTGTCCCTACATACACCCCCATTCCCAGGGCGAGCTCACTCTCTGGCATCCAGTTCCCCGTGGTGAATTTCCTTGTGCAAGAATCCAAGTGGAGAGGTAAGGAGTGGGAGGTAGGGAGTCCAGTTCAGGGAGGGGGATTCCAGGAGGATAAATGAAGGGGAAGAGGCTGGGCGCAGCCTGGGGATCTCCCTCTGGTTTCCACAGACAGATCCTTGGCCAGTGTGACAACGAGGCTTGGGGTAGAAGAGGGATCAGGACAAAGTCCTAGTTCCTGGGCGTGGCTCTCAGGGTCTCAGGCGCCGAGGGCCGTGTCTGTATTGGGGAGGCACAGAGTTGAGGATTTCCCACTCCCCTGAGTTCCACTTCTCCCAACCAGTCAAGTCCTTCTTCCTGGATACTTATGACGCCTCCCCAGTTCTCACTTCCTTTGGGTGCCGGGTTTCTAGAGAAGCCAATCGGCGTCGCCGCGGTCCCGGGTTCTGACGCCCCCAGTCACCTACCTGGACTCAAATTCTCCCCTAACGCCTAAGCTGGAGTCATGGCGCCGCGAACCCTCCTTCTGCTGCTCTCAGGGGCCCTGGCCCTGTCCAAGACCTCGGCAAGTGAGTTAGGGATCGGGAGGGAAACGATCTCTGCGGGGAGGAGTGAGGGGACCGTTGGGAGGGGACGCAGGACCCGGGGAGCTGCCCCCAGAGGAGGGTCGGCGGTCTCAGCCCCTCTCGTCCCCAGGCTCCCACTCCTTCAGGTATTTCAGCACCGCTGTGTCCCGACCCGGCCGCGGGGAGCCCCGCTTCATCGCCGTGGGCTACGTGGACGACACTCAGTTCATGCGGTTCGACAGCGACGCCGCGATTCCCAGGATGGAGCCGCGGGCGCAGTGGGCAGAGCAGGCGGGGCCGGAGTATTGGGACGGGCTGACAGGGATAGCCAAGGCCTGCGCACAGGCTTGCCGAGTGAACCTGCGGGACATACGCGGCTACTACAACCAGAGCGAGGCAGGTGAGTGACCCCGGTCCGGTGCGCAGGTCACGACCCCTCCCCATCCTCCACGGACGGCCCGGGTCGCCCTGAGTCTCTGGACCCAAGATCTACCCCGAGGCTGCAGAACCCGCCCGTACCCTGGACGCGGGAGAGCCCCAAGGCACCTGTATCCAGTTTCATGTTCAGTTTAGGCCAAAATCCCTGTGGTTTGGTAGGGGCGGGGCTGGGCGTGCTGCGCTGACTGCAACGGCGGGGCAGGGTCTCACACCCTCCAGGTGTTGTTTGGCTGCGACCTGGGGCCCGATGCGCGCCTCCTCCGCGGGTACTACCGCATAGCCTACGACGGCAAGGATCACGTCGCCCTGAAGGAGGACCTGCGCTCCTGGACAGCCGCAGACACGGCAGCTCAGGTCACCCGGCGCAAGTTGGAGGCAGAGAAATATGCAGAGCAGTTGAGGGCACAGCTGCAGGGGGAGTGCGTGGAGTGGCTCAAAAGACACCTGGAGAACGGGAAGGAGACCCTGCAGCGCCCGGGTACCAGGGGCAGTGGGGAGCCGTCCCCATCTCCTAAAGATCTCCCAGGATGGTCTCCCAGGAGGAGGGGAGGAAACAGGATCAGTGCTAGAATATCTTCCTCCCTTGAATGGAGAATGGCATGAGTATTCCTGAGTTTCCTCTGAGAGCCCCCTCTGCTCTCTAGGACAAGTAAGGGATGACGTCTCTGAGGAAATGGAGGGGAAGACAGTCCCTGGAATACTGATCGGAGTCCCCTTTGACCCCTGCAGCAGCCTTGGGCACCGTGACTTTTTCTCTCAGACTTTGTTCTCTGCCTCACACTCAATGTGTTTGAAGGTCCGATTCCAGCTTTTCTCAGTCCCTCGGCCTCCAGTCAGGTCACGACCAGAAGTCGCTGTTCTTCCCTCAGATACTAGAACTTTTCAAAGAATAGATTATCCCAGGTGCCTGTGTCCAGGCTGCTGTCTGGGTTCTGTGCTCCCTTCCCCACCCCAGGTGTCCTGTCCATTCTCAGGGTGGTCACATGGATGATGCTGGAGTGTCCCATGAGAGATGCAAATTGCCTAAATTTTCTGACTCTTCCCATCAGAACCCCCAAAGACACATGTGACCCACCACCCCACCTCTGACCAAGAGGCCACCCTGAGGTGCTGGGCCCTGGGCTTCTACCCTGCTGAGATCACACTGACCTGGCAGCTGGGTGGGGAGGACCAAACTCAGGACACAGAGCTTGTGGAGACCAGGCCTGCAGGGGATGGAACCTTCCAGAAGTGGGCAGCTGTGGTGGTGCCTTCTGGAGAAGAGCAGAGATACACGTGCCATGTGCAGCACGAGGGGCTGCTGGAGCCCCTCACCCTGAGATGGGGTAAGGAGGGGGATGGGTAAGGAGGGAATGAGGGGTCACATCTCTTCTCAGGGAAAGCAGGAGCTCTTCTGGAGCTTTCAGCAGGGTCAGGGCTGAGGTCTGGGATCAGGGTCCCTCACCTTCCCCTCCTTTCCCAGAGCCGTCTTCCCAGCCCACCATCCCCATCATGGGCATTGTTGCTGGCCTGGCTGTCCTAGGAGCTGTGGTCACTGGAGCTGTGGTCACTGCAGTGATGTGGAGGAGAAAGAGCTCAGGTAGGGAAGGGGTGAGGGGTGTGGTCTGGGTTTTCTTGTCACGCTGGGTATTTTAAACCTCAGGTAGAAGTGTTGCCTGCCTCATTACTGGGAAGCATCTTCCACACTTGGGCCCAGCCAGCCTGGGGCCCTGTGTGCCAGCACTTATTCTTTTGTGAAGCACATGTGACAATGAAGGACAGATGTATCACCTTGATGATTATGGTGTTGGGGACCTGATTCCAGCAATCACGAGTCAGGGGAAGGTCCCTGCTAAGGACAGACCTTAAGAGGGTGGTTGGTCCAGGACCCACAACCACTTTCTTGGTGTTTACTGATCCTGCCCTGGGTGTGTAATCATGGTTCTCGAAACTTCTCTTGGGTCCAAGACTAGGAGGTTCCTCTAAAGTCTTATGGCCCTCCCTTCTCCCTGCCCTTCACAGGACATTTTCTTCCCACAGGTGGAAAAGGAGGGAGCTACTCTCAGGCTGCGTGTAAGTGGTGGGGGTGGGAGTGTGGAGGAGCTCACCCATCCCATAATTCCTCCTGTCCCACATCTCCTGCTGGTTCTGACCAGGTCCTGTTTTTGTTCTATCCCAGGCAGTGACAGTGCCCAGAGCTCTGATGTGTCTCTCACAGCTTGTAAAGGTGAGATTCTGAGGGTCTGAAGTGGGTGCGGGGTAAGGCAGAGGGGAAAGGACGGGGTAATGGTGATTATTTGATTGGGATGTTTTGAGTGTGTGGTGGGCTGTTCAGAGTGTCATCACTTACCATGACTAACCTGAATTTGTTCATGACTATTGTCTTCTGTAGCCTGAGACAGCTGCCTTGTGTGGGACTGAGATGCAGGATTTCTTCACACCTCCCCTTTGTGAATTGAAGAGCCTCTGGCATCTCTTCCTGCAAAGGCATCTGAATGTGTCTGCGTCCCTGTTAGCATAACATAAGGAGGTGGAGAGACAGCCCACCCCGTGTCCACCGTGACTCCTGTCCCCACGCTGATCTGTTCCCTCCCCAGTCATCTTTCCTGTTCCAGAGAGGTGGGGCTGGGTGTTTCCATCTCCATCTCAACTTCATGGTTCATTGAGCTACAACCTCCTACTTCCCTACGGAAAATAAAAATCTGAATATAAATTTGTTTTCTCAAATATTTTCCATGAGAGGTTGATGGGTTAATTAAATAATTCAATTCCTAAAATTTGAGAGAGAAATAAAGACCTGAGAACCTTCCAGAGTCCGCATGTTCGCTGTGGTGAGTCTGTTGCAGGTGGGGATGGAGAAGGCTGTGAGGAGCCGAGTGTGGACTGGGCCTGTGCCCAGTTGCTGCTGAGTCCATCATGGGCTTTATGTGGTCAGTCCTCAGCTGGGTCAGCTTCACTGCTCCATTGTCCTTGTCCCCTTAGTGGAAACTTTTTCAGCTGAAGCTGTGACCACATAGGCTCACACATCACCCAGGGCGGCCCCTGCACATGGGAGTCTCTGTGTTTCTGAGACAAAGTTTCAGACCCATTTAGCTCCTGACCTCCTTCTAGGGCTCCTCTTCTGCTCTGCTCTCCTGCCCTCTCTCCCTGCCCTGGTTCCAGTGATTTTGGTGCTGGCTCCAATCCCAACTCATGAATCTAAAGCAGAGGCTAATTTAGACACATTTGTTTGTGAAATTGGACCCATCATCAAGGACTATTTCCTGAAGAGAGAAGCGTGATTGTGTGTTGCAGTATGCAGGTGTGTGTGGGTTGGGAGTTGGTGTGGGGGGAGGGATTAGGGAGGGAGGATACACTAGCAGCCCTGCTGAGATAAGTACAGGTGGCTTCAATGTCAGTGTGAGGGGTCCTTGTGCTGTAGCTGCCAAGAAACAGCACTTGGTCTGAGTCTATGTTAATAAAGATACTGCCTTTAGAATAGGAGATGCTCTACAGTAACCTTCATTGTCAGCCAGACATAGGACAGAGTGGTTCTCCGTATGGGGAGGATCATTGAAGTAAAATCAGAAAAATCTCTAATCTTGTGGAGCATGTGTTCCAGTGGGAAGAGGCAGATGATAGATACACTATAATCAGAGCAAGGAAAGAAAGTGTTAGAAGGTGGGAAGTGCTGTGAGGTAGGTGATCCAGGGTGTGGGCAGTGGGCGCAGGGAAGGTGGCTGTTGTGTTGGGGTAGTCAGTGTGTGCCATGTTGCAAAGGTGACCTTTGAGGAAAGAGTTGAGGGACATGAGGAGTGTCAGGATATCTGGAAAAGTTCTTTCCAGGCAGGGAACCTCCAGTGCAAATGCACTATGGCAGGAAGGTGTCTGAGTTCCCAGGAGAGGAAGGAGCCCAGGAGGGCTGGACAGAGATAATCTGAGGTGAGGTCAAAGATACAGCCAGGGCACGTGGGCCTGGAGGGTGTGGGGAAGCATCTGATCCTTGCTCTGAGTAAGATGGGGAGGTAGCAGACAGTATTGAGCAGAAGAGAGACATGGTACAACTTCTCTTTTAAAAGGATCTCTGACTGCTGTGCTGAGAACAGAATTGAGAGGCGAGGAACAAGGGAGGTAGAAGGGAAAACAGTGGGAAGCAAGTGTAGTATTCCAGGCTGGAGATGTTGTTACCTTGACTGGGGTGTGAGCAGGGGAAATAGTAGGACGTGAGGGGATTCTGGATGCATTTTAAGATGGACTCACAGCATTTGCCAATGGATTGTATCTGTGGTGTGAGAAAGACGAATCAAGGACACCCACAGTTGTAAAACGAGTGAGTAGAAGGAAGGGTGGAGCTGCTGTGGAAATGGGGAGACTCTGGCAGGAGCATAGTGAGGAGGGGGCATCCCAGGCACTCAGTGGAGGAGATGTCTACTAGGAATGCAGGTGAGGGAGCTGGGGTGGCAGTTGGACAGACAACTCCAGAGTTTAGGGGAAATGAGAACTAGACTGGGCTGGATAAATAGATTTAGGAGGTCACACCATATAAACAACACTTAAAACCTTAAGCATGGATGAGGGCACCAGGGAAGTGACTAGCTACGGAAGAGAATGAGTACAAGGACTGAACCCTGGACGTCCAGTTCTAAGGGAACTGATCAGACCACACCCAGAGCAGACTGCACAGTTCTGACCTCCGATGTGCACAGGGATCACCTGGACATGGTGCTGAGATCCAAGAAGTCTAGGTTTGAGCAAGAGATTCTGGATTTATGACAAGACTGGAGCCTATGTTTCTGGTCTCCAGATCAGGAACACCAGGATCCCACATGTCTGAGCATCAGCCTGCCTGTAGTGCTTGTTATGTAAGTGATGTCTTGGTCTTGTGCGTAATACTCTGAGACAGGAGTTCTGGGAGGCAGCCCGAGTATTTTCTAAGCCTCTGCCCTCCCTGTTGGGAGCTATATTGGGAACCACTGATATCAGAGATCAGAGTGACCAGGGTGGGTGAATGGGGTAGATTTTCAACCTTGTGTAAAAGAATATTTTTCTCTCAGAAACAAAAGACAGGAGGTATATCATCAGTTATGAGATGTGATTCCCTGTTGATCTCTCCACCAATGTGTAGAAGCCAGGTAGACAATTCAGGATGTGGCTCTCACACAAAGAACACCTTTGAGTGCTGCCCTCTGATACTGGGCCACACACTGATTTCTCACTCACTTCTTGGAGCAAACTATGAAAATAAATTTCTCTAATTTACACATGAAGTCATATATCTGGTGTTGGTGGTTAATTTTATTGTGGGGAAGGCCACAGAACCAGGCTAAAAACTGCACATCCAGGAACAGAATCCACAGCCCACCCTGGATCAGTTCCCTCCTAGGAACAACTGCCCCTGCTGCTGAGCACAGACGCCACTGCTCACACCTCTGACACCCTGGTGCTGGACACTGGACACTGACGCTAGGACAGATGTCACTGCTGCACCTGGAAACTGGACATCACCACTACCACTCAGCCATCTTTACTAAAATGCATTCTGCGCAGTCCCAGCTCTCTCTGTCACCTCATTCTGGCTCAGATTCTGGCAGTGATATAGGAGTTAAGAAGAAATTATTTAGGCAGATAGTGAGGGTACAGAAGTCCTCAGTAAGGTTTTTCTTTTAATGAAACGCAGCCCCCAAATCGTTTTCTTTTCTAACAAATAGCAGCCTGTGAAATTACTACATCTGACAAGAGAGATAGATTCCACTACAAGAATAGTGGGGACTTCAACATCTAAACCTCGGCATTAGATAGATCATCTACACAGAAAATCAAGAAAGAAACATTGGATTTAAACTAAACTTCAGACCAAATAAAGCTAACAGATGTTTACAGAGCATGCTATCTAACACTACAGAATATACATTTTTTTCATGAACACATGGAACATTTTCCGGGAGAGAGCCTATATTAAGCCACAAAACAAGTTTCAACAAATTTTCAAAAATTGACATCCTATTAAATATCTTCTCTGGCCACAGTGGAATAAAACTAGAAATGTACACCAAGAGAAACATTGGCAACTAGACAAATACATGGAAACTAACAGCACGCTCCTGAATAAACATTGAGTGAACAGAGAAATTCAGATGGAAATCAAAAAGTTTGTTGAAACAAATGAAAATGGAAACACAACATATTAAAACCTGTGGGATACAGTTAAACAGGGCTAAAGGGGAAGTTTACAGCAGTAAATGCCTACCTAAAAGGAGTAGGAACATTACAAATTAGCAATATAACAATGAAACTTAAGGAACTAGAAAAGCAACAAACCACATCTAAAATTAGAAGAAAAGAAATAATAGAGATCAGAACAGAACTAAAGACTTTTAAAAACCATGTAAGTGATCAATACAGGGAAATTTTGTTCTTCAAGAAAATAAACTAAATTGATAAGCTACTAGCTAGACAAACCAAGAAAAACAGAGAGTAGACTCAAACAAAATCAGAAAACAGAAACACTACAAGTGATACTACAAAAATATAAAAGATCATTAGAGACCATTATGAACAATTCTGTACTGACAAACTGGAAAACCTGGAGGAAATGGATAAATTCCTAGAAACGTGCAACCTGTCAAGATTAAATTAGGAAGAATAGAAAACCTGAAGGCCTAACACATATATGAACCATTCTCACAGTGGGGCCCGACCCACCCTGTGATTATCTCCTCAGCACTGGTTTGCATAATTGAAATAGACTTACTCAGCAATTAGCAGAATCTACAGATTGGTTTCTTTTTCTAACTTTTATTTTCAGTTCAGGGGCACAAGTGCAGGCTGTTTTATAGGTAAACTTGTGTCGTGGGAGTTTGCAGCAGAGATTATTCAGCCACACAGGGTTTAAGCCTAGTACCTATTAGTTATTTTTCCTGATCCTTTCCCTCCTCCCACCCTGGACCTTCTGAAAGGCCCCAGTGTGTGTTGTTCCCCTCTCTGTCTCTATTCATTCTTGTCACTAAACTCCCACTTAAAAGTGAGAACATGCAGTATTTGCTCTTCTGTTCCTGCATTAATTTGCTAATGACTTCCAGTTTTACCTATGTTCCTGCAAAGGACATGATCTCATTTATTTTGTTGTCTACATAGTATTCCATGGCATATATGTATCACATTTTCTTTATCCAGTCTACCATTGATGGACACTTAATTTGATTCCATGTCTTTGCTATTGTGAAGAGTGCTGCTCAACATGTGTGCATGTGTCTTTATAATAGAATTATTTATATTTCTTTGAGTATAATGGTATTTCTCTCTTTAGGTCTTTGAGAAATCACCACACTGTCTTCCACAATGGCTGACCTAAATTGCACTCCCACCAACAGTGTATAACGGTTCCTTTTTCTCCATAACTTTGCAAGCATCTGTTATTTTTTGACTTTTTAATAATCGCTGTTCTGCTTGGTATGAGATGGTGTCTCATTGTGGTTTTGATTTGCATTTTTCTAATGATCAGTGATGTTGAGCTTTTTTTCTTGTGTTTTTTGGCTGTATGTATGTCCTTTTGAGAAGTGTCTGTTCATATTCTTTGCCCACTTTTTAATGGGGTTGTTGTTTTCTTGTAAATTTGTTTAAGTTCCTTATAGATGCTAGATATTAGACCTTTGTCAGAGGCATAACTTGCAAAAACATTTTCCCCATCTGTAGGTTGTCTGTTTTCTCTGTTGATAATTTCTTTTGCTGTGCAGAAACTTTTTAGAATTAGATTCCATTTGCCAATATTTGCTATTTTTTTTTTGCATTTCAGTAATTTTATTGAAAGGTATATCCCTTAGTACTAAAACATGATGGTAGTTGGTTAGTTTACTTCTGCCAACTCAAAATTAACAATGACATATTCAAAATATTGAAATTTATCAGCCTTTTGGGAAAACTAAAAAGTTACCCGTAAAACATAGTTTATAAAAGTTAAGGATAAGACAGTGGTTCTTTGGTTTTTCATTGTGTATTGATCCATACGTGATGTCAAATTGGTTACAGCCAATTGGTTACAACTAATTCTGGATGGACTCAGGCTATACAGTGCACTGAGTAACTGTTTACAACACTTTAACATTGCACTTCTTACATGTACTGACTGACATGGAGAATCTTAAATACTACCTCAGCAGACTCATTCATAGTTATGAGGGTCTCTACTTGCTTTTCTTAAGACTTTGTTTTAGCACAGTAAGGGCATCAGTGGAAGTATATTCTCTTTTTAAAAAACTGCCATCACTTCTAATTTAAAAATAGTCTTTAGTTAAAAATCATCTGGAGTGTTGAATCTAGCCTGAACTTACCTTACTGTGGGAAAGCAAATTTTCAAAGTGATAATTCATTCTGAGTTACTAATACAACAGAAACTAATTTTTTATGGGATTCAGTTTGAGGCAGTAAGTTCTGTATAAAAATTTTATTATAGATACAAATGTCACCTGTTTTCTAGAAAAAAATATTGAAGATAACTTAATGAATATGCCAAACTTTCTAGGTCTGTATTTTTCTTTATATAAAATGCCCTCAAATTTAAATGTAATTCTTATATAGGAATAAAGTCCACATCTTTGGATTATCTATTACTTGCATCATGGGGTGTGTTTATACTGCCTAGAATGTTAACCCTTATTATGCCTTAAAAGCGCATTTGTGAAATGTTGCTTTTGAAGTAAACCTCATAACTTAAAATTTAATATTTAAATTAAGTAAGAGTAGGATTAGGATAATGAGAGTGATTGAAGCTGTGGGAAGACCGATAGTTGATGGTATTAGTATGGCTCTTCTGATGCCATTTTCAATACCACCTAAAGATATTGATCCAATACTTAAGTTAGATCAATGATAGAAATGAAAATTCACAGTTTACCTTCTCAGGCTTGTCATTAGCATTTCATATTTAGGCTTTTAGCTTCGATTTGAATGCTTCACAGACAAATTCAAATCTAAACATAATTCCACTACAGTGTAACATTAATTAGGCAGTTTTCTGAAGTCTGAGCCCATCATGCTTATCTCATGATGTTTTGAGGCTTCATAGCTTAAATCCATTGTAATATTATGGAATCTATAGAACAAACTTGTGGAGAAGGGCTTCAGAGAAGTTTTTTGGTGCTGTAATAATCCATTTAAGGAACCATTTCAGGAATTGTTGGAAGGTGAGTTATTCTGTAGTAACTATGCTTCAATTGCCATGCAGTATGCCCAGAAACAATCCATTTCAGCTTCTGAATATTTGGTTTGGAACACTTGTTTAATGAATATTCAGTTAAACGTTTGGATACAAACTCTTGCCAGAAGGTCAAATCTCTGCAATTTATGTTGGAATGTTTGTGAAGGCATTCCGCTCCTTCTGTTAACTGTACACACTTCTGTGCTTGGATCTCTAATCCAGCGATAGACAATGCCAACACAGAAGGCTTTGCTTTAGAAATACGATCCTGCAATGACATGCCTTAAGTTGAGCTTCTAGTCTTTTAAAATTAATGCTATTTCTCCTTTCAAATGGCAAGCTCTCTTGAAGGAGTGAATAACACAGTTGCAGAAATTGAATGGCAGTAGTAGCTTTGACTTTCCAACACACTTTCTCCAAAACAATCTTTTCCATCCTCATCAAGTCTGACACCGTAAACCTGTATTGACTTATTCAGATCAAGTCAGTTGGCAATGGGACATTCCTTTTCTCTTCTATTGATTTTACAGCCAAATAGAAGCAGCTCAGTCCAACGCACCAAAGGTGGTTTACCCCAGGATATCAGATCCAGGATGCCTAGGAGGAGAGGGGACTTGCAGGCAAGAGGAGAGAGGCCTAGGGAGGGGCTGTCCTGGGTGGAGGTCTCGGCAGTGCTGCTGAGATGACTTGGCTCTGATCAGGTTCAGCTCGAAGCCTCAATATTTGCTTTTGTTGCACTTGCTTTTGCTATCTTTGTCATGAAATCGTCACCCATGCCTACGTCCTGAACGGTGTTGCCTAGGTTGTGTTCCAGGGTTTTTATAGTTTTGGGTTTTACATTTAAGTCTTTAATCCATCTTGAGGTGATTTTTGTATATGGTGTAATGAAGGAGTTCAGTTTAAATCTTCCACATATGGCTAGCTAGTTTTCCCAGCACTATTTATAATCAGGGAATCCTCTCCCCATTGCTTGTTTGTGTCAGCTTTGCTGAGACCAGCTCAGTCATGGAGATCCCAACTCAGGTGGAGCTGAAGGAATTAAGAGGCAGACACAGAGATAGAGAGCAAAAAGTTATGGGACAGACATGGGGCCTTGGCATTCCCAGCTGAGAGCCTCGAACAGAGACTGACCCACACATTTATTGACAGCAAGCAAGTGATGATTATCATTTAACTAAAAGCATTCTCCTTAGAGAACACAGCATTCTTTAGTGGCAAGAAGCAGGCTCTGGTGCGCTTACCTACTGCAGCTGGAACATGTGTAAGGCACATGTGGCTCATGCTATTGTTTATGGTTCAGAAGCACCCTCTCCCAGCGGTCTTCTGCCCAAGAGCCATTAGGTCTTTCTTTCCAGCTCCAGTAAACCAACAATCTCTAGCAATGTGCATCACTGCCATCATGGGGATGTCACAGTGCTATAGATATTCTGTTTATGACCAGTTTCTTTAAGGCCTGTTTATGCCAGGCTTAGGGCCTGCTCTCAAATGCTCCCTTTCCATTTTGCAAAGCGATAAGGGCAAGGGTAGCTTTATCACAGTGGGCTACTTCTCGCGGGATTCGGGATCTGCAGTAGCAGACAATACAAAGACAAAAAATACAGATTAGAAGAACAACCATCTTCGAAATCACAGAATCTCCCAGTGTTTTTATCCACTTGAGCGTATTTATGGCTGCTAATCCATCAGGGGGCTCCTTCAAGCACTTCAGTCTCTGGCATTACTGTTAAGTGTGCCTGGGAGGCTTGAAATACCTGCTCTTTCAGTTTTGCAATATCCAAAGAAAAATTTCCAGTATGACCCTGTAAATGTCTCTTAACTCCCATTCATGTTCTGATTCATTATAAAGGTGAGGAGTAACACAGAAATCAGAAGTATTCCAGTCACATTTTGGTTGCATTCTAAACTCATTACTCGATCTCCCAACCATACGACAGTTTGACGGAGATCATCAATCTGATTAGCTATGTTCTGGTCTATTTTGGTATGAGGATTCCACAGTAGAGTAGAATTCTTCTGCCAACTATTTACATAGTCTGCTGTTTGCACTGTTGAATGCAAAGCAACTACAGCTACCGCAACCATAGCTGTGACAGTAATCAATCCAATAATGATTAAGATTAAAGTTGCAATGAACTTCCTGGTACATTTTAGAACCTTTTGTAAAATTTCAGTGAGAATATGTTCTGATGGGGATGTTTCCTAGGGATGAGATAGATTTACTGGTAGCCATATTCCCTCTCAGGCTCTCACCAGTAACATGGAGCTAGAAGAGTCAAACATAGAGGCATTAACACAAGAAGACAACTTACAATTTTGACATGTTAGCTTGGAGTTAAGAAAATTGATCTGTAACCTTCCCACTACTAAAAGATAAGGAGGTATAACGTAGCTCTAAATCCAAAGAGTTTTATCTTTACAAATTCTAATGAATAATGATGGTTGTAATGGGATCCAGTATAATTTTCTTTCTAGACCTTTATTGGTTCAGGGCCATATATAATTTCCAAAGATTTTTTATTTAGTTTCCAATTTTGGCCAAATCATTTTTGGTCGTGTTCCTACCATGCCTCCATTTTTCCAAATAATAGGAACATTTGTTTCAGTGTGTATTGAGTTCAAACTGTTATTACTTTTTTTATTTAAGTAATATGGTGTCATGACAAGAGGGCTGACTAGTGCAATTAATGCTAAATATCCCCTTAGAGGACCAATCAATAACAATTCCAGGGGAATTATCGTGCAGCACCTCAGCCTCTGCCAAAACACGGTTTTCCCAAATTAATATTTTTTAACTTAGAAGACCACCCATTATGCTGTCTGCCTTTAATTTTGGGGGGTCAGACATAACTCTGTATCCAAGCTGTATCATTGTGAACCAAATTTAATATGTAATTAGAATTATATTGGGTTGGCTTAGTATATTGTCCTTCCCAAATCTTTACCATTCGCAATGCCATTAATATTTCCCATAACTCTTTATGTTTGGCTCCTATAGCTGGCCATATCATTTGAGGTTGAGCTTCCGTTATACCACCATATGCCCAAATAACACAAACTTTTTTATGGTACTTCTTACGATTTCCACCGTCTGATCATTTTGTTTAGATACAGGGTGACCATTACCTATAGACTGAGAGGTGGGCCTCATAAATACTCCTTTAGGGGACCAATCAATAATGATTCCATATGAATCATTATGCAACACCTCTGCCTGCCCTGCGACACAATCTTCCCAAGCAAATTCCTTCGTTTTTTCTGACCGTGTCCCATCCACCTTACAGATAGGTTTTTGAGGGCAGTAGACTTTGGTTATGGGAGCATAAACATTGTGGTAAATACTATGACTAGAGAGCATAAGTAATTGGGCCACAGATTGATTATGTATAGGCACTATTGCCAGTCAAGGCTGATGACTCGGAAGTAGGCAACCATGCGCCTTTCCCAGGCAAATAGGTAGATGTCAAATCCTAAGGAGATAGTCATAACTGTTCCCTCCTCCTGGGAGTGAGACGGGCCTCTATCATCTGCAGGGCTAGGCGTCCAAAAACTATCAGTGTGTACCTCCACTGGGGAGTCTAACCAAGTTACTGGCAGTAGAAGTGGTGGAAAGGGAATACATGCCCAGTAAGTATAATTGTTTTTTATTTCAGCAGTTACTGGGGGAATATGCAAGGCAATGGTGAGCACAGCCTTCATAGCTGCCATTAAATTACTCATTGTAACTGGCTGTCCCATCCTTCTCAAGTTTTCTTTAGGTGTCTTTGACAACTTCTTAATTTGGCCCCAAGTGGGTAGCTGCACCTGATGGGTGTTGCTTGTTTGTCCTGGTGTCTTCCTCAGCATCAGTTTCACCATTGCTGCAACTGGGAGGTCCTCGGGTTCCTCCCAAAACCTCTTTCTTGGTATCTGGCTTATGATAAGGTTTTAGGTGTCTTGATGGTACCCAGATAGGCTGCTGGTTTTGCCCTGGAGAGACACAAGCATAGCCTCTTCCTATGTTATTATTTTGCCTGTTTCCCAACTTTTTTGTTATTGGATCTCTTCACCAAACCAGTTGTTTGGCTTCTGCCTTTGCAGCTGGTTTCTGTAGATGCTATTCAGCTGCTGATAATATCTGTCCGTTAGGCAGGCTCAAACAATTTAAAGTTAGTAATGCTATATATTCAATTGCATATGTGGGGTCCTATTGTCTCTTCCCTCCTTTTGTTTCTGTAACTGTTTTAGGGAGAGATTCATTCATTCTACAATAGCTTGTCCTTGTGAATTGTTTGGAATGCCAGTGATATGTTTGATATTCCACTGTGAGAAGAATGTAGCTAAAGTTGACTAGTAAACCATGGAGCAGTGTCTGTTTTAACAGAAGCTAGAATGCCCATGACTGCAAAGAACTGCAACAGATGCTGTTTAATACAGGCAGAAGATTCCCTAGTTTGGCGTGTGGCCCTGTTATAAATAAAATTTTGATGCTGAAAAAGAAATAGCACTCTAAGCTATGTCCTCTCAGCAAAGCAGTTTACTTCTATAGGAGTGTGTGGGGTGCACGGATGGAGCAATGATGGCCACCGCATGCTTGGACAAGGGGTGAAGTGGTACTTATGCCTGATGGGGGTCATCCCTGCTGCTGTGTCATCCCCTATTGGCTATGGTTAGACTGCACAAGCTAGATTAATCTTGAATGGCTATTTTAAAAGGAGCAGGGGTCTAAACTGGAGTGGCAGGGTGGGTGTTTTGGTGGGAAGGACAGTTACAGGTGTGTCATAGTAGGCAGCCAGGAGTGATCAGGTGACTGGAATGACTCAGGATGGAGTGGGGAGGAGGAGCAGATGTGAACTACTGATTAGAACTGGTTGAGAAGGTTGTTTACTGGAATTACAAGGAAATTAAATAGAGACTTAAAGAATAAGAGAGCTGAATGAACTGACATACTGATTCTTTGAAGAGAAACTTGGGGTTCACTATAACAGCCCAAACAAAATGAGAAAATGTATCTACACATATGTGCTTATAAGCCAGTTTTCCAAAAGAAGAAACATGGGTAACATCCATTTCCCAAAGACAGTTTAGTTCCAATCCACGGGGGTTAACCCCGTAAAGGACACAGAATGAATCATTTTGAAGCAGGATCGACGGCGACATCTCTCAAACAATGAACTAGGAAGGAAGAGGTGTTTATTATTATTATTATTATTGTTATTATGGCCAGGAGCCAGGCAACAATTTTTCTAAATGACCAAGCTCCCCTAACAAAGAGAAGCTCTGCCTTTATTTAGGCTTACACTCTAGATACTACACATGAAAGAATCTTAGGTTTACAGCCTTAGAAATCACAACTGAAAGGGTCTTGGGTTTACAGTTTTAGAAATCACATATGAAAGGATCTTGGGTTTATAGTTTTAGAAATCATATATGAAAGGGTCTTGGTTGATGGAGAAGTGGGGTGGTGATTTGCTCTTGTTTAAGTAAAAACAATGCCTTCCAGAGAGATTCCCCCG